CCGGAATTTTGGTCTGTGCTCAACTGTGAGTCGTGACCTTCAGGGTATCCTGTCATAATCCAAATGGGACCAAGCAAACACATCCTCGTTAGCAGTAAGAAAAGAAAGCAAGATTTTCCTGATGCTCGGGTAGTTTAAACCCGGCCCAGGTTACCTTTCGTCTGGCGCACTGGAACAAATAGGGATCTGTTTCCAGCTCATTCGACTGTTGATTTGGTGCATCGGACTCATCCGAGTTACAAAGACGGGGAAGAAAGAGGTCTTCCCCGAAGGTAGAAGTTCCTGTTCAGCCTCTTTTCCAGAGCTTACACTTTGACGTGCTATTTTTGCCTTGGACACCGTCATTCTACCGCGAACATGCTCTCTTCGCGCATTGGCTCCCCCAGTACACAGTGATGACCCCTCGGCAGATGGGAATGTTCAGCATTGTGCACCGCGTGGAGTACGACCCCGAATGTCGGTGTAGCCAATGGTCTTCGAGCGAGGGGCGTTGTACTCATAACGCACTAATAACACAGAACTTGGTCGCTTTCATAGACTCCGCCCACGTCGATATAGCAAGAGTTATTTCCCTCGTGTTGTCTCTGTAGCCATATTAAATCCATTTCAATACATTCTCCTTCAGAAATTATCTGCCTGTCAGTCCCAACTGTTCGCACGCCTCCATACCGAATTATGTTAGCCGGTGCTTCCGGGAATCTGACCAAAGACACCTATGACTTTAGTGTCTCGACCATCATGTGATATTACAAAAGCGTCGTTATGGGGGTTGTGCTGGCCAGTCGATTTCCTCCGTTCGTAAAACACAGTGTTTCCCTCTGGTGGCATAAACCCTGATCCGCTTCTCTTGTGGATCGATATCTGGTACGATTTCAGTATGGTACTTGAAGTCGTCTTCCCCTCCAATTATCATAGTTTATGGTGTGCCGGGTTCCGTTCCTATCGGCTGGTCGATTCTCGATGTTTCGTATAGAATTTTGGACGATCACTGAGAAAATCTCAAGGTAACCTTCATCGAGCAACCCGGGCAGACTTCTCGCAGTTGCCTACAATCTTCAGGTTCTGTGGGCCATGTGTGTTGTGGTACATTACATATTAACTTGGATCCCTTCCTCGAGCGGATGCGACTGTACGGGTTTGGGACCATCGGCTTCTTTGACTACGCGTCCGATTGCCCGACTACCAGGCAAGCGCGAATCGACAACTGAAATTATATCATCAGGTCTAATACGGGTGCCTCCTGTCTATCGAACGGCTTTCCGAGGTGGCCTTCGTACGGTCTTCTGTCCTCTCATAACCGCGATCGTTCCTCGTAAATTAGGCCTCCTGTCATCCTGATCGGCCGATATCTTTCCTTGTTCGGTCTTGAACTCTTTGTAGTTTTCCTCGAGGTCGATCGAATTCGCTATGTGTGGATGGCGAAATCCGAACTCGACTCCCAGTGGTCCGTCCTCTACCCTTACTTCGATTGGTAACCGAGTTATGGATTGTCTGCCCACCGTAACTGACAGACTCGATCAAGGCTTTGTTAATGCCTGGATGGCGGGCTGAGCTATCGGCGTTCAATCCTTGAGTGAAGGCTTGTACTTGCCCAGTCATCCGTGACTGGGGGAAGATCCATCCTCTCCATTTGAAATCGAGACACGATAATTCCCGAAGTGTCTCGTTTTATGCGCTGTCGGACCTATGAATAGGTCCGATTTCCTTTTTCTACCCTGATCGCCCCGGCGTGGCTTTCACGAAGGCAGTCGGCTTAACATGGCGAACGAATCGATGGAAATTTTGGCGATAAGTTAATGATACCACGTCAATGCCCCTTGGACAAGGTTTCTCCGAACTTTTTCAACAAAACTGACTCCGATTTGCATCATCTTCAGATAGTTTCCCCTTAATCGTGCGCATGTGTATGCTTCAACATCTCGTTTGGGTCCGAGTCCCATTATACTTCGGATAATCGGGCATTCTAAATTTCTTAGGGATAGGTTTGGGCGGCACTGGGAATGGGAACGGTTTTTGTACAAACTTTGCTCAAGGCCCTTCAGGACCGGAGTGCA